CATGCTTTGCACAATTACCCACGTAGAGTTTTGGGTTGTGTCTCGCCTCTTGACCGGAGCGGTCGCTGTGCCTTGCAGGCGGTGGTGGCGGAAGGGGAGGCGGAGGTGGAAGCCGAGCAACCGGCTGCTGAGGTTGGGTCTGGGATCGGGAGTTTTTGGGGAATACATGCCGGGAATACTCCTTGGGCTCATTCTGTGCGAGTGCATCATTTTGTTCTGAGGGTCTGGTTTTTGGCGATTTCGTGGCGGAGCTTCAGCTGCGAATTGGACCTTTCCTCGAAATTCCTGGAGCCACGCTTTCGATTTGCCGGCTCGAGTTCCGGAGGAAGCGGCGCTGCCAGAGCCGCGGCTCCCAGCAGAGGCATGGGGGTGGTTTTGGCCCAATTGTTGAAGATTTTGGGGCTATTCAAGTGAGCCACTTGCTCAGAAGTCCGAGTGGACAAAGGTTGGTAAGAGAGGATCCCAACCAGAACCGGGTGCAGCCACCTTTGAACGTCTTTTCATGGTTCTGGGTAGAAAGTGGGTGTGTCTTTGTTTTGGGTACCCTTTTTGGGGTGGTTTGTAAGAGAGAATCAACAGGCAAATCACCCAAATGTTTTGGGGATCCCATTCCTAATTTCGCAATGCTTGCACCCACTCGAAAAGTTTCCAGTGAGTAGTGGTGCATTGGGGTTAGACGCAATTCTGATAGTGAGAGCCCCTTTTGCATGGACCTTGCTGACAGTGGAGGCAGCCAAAGCGGAAGAGCCTTCGAACGAGACCGACGAATGCGCTGCGGAGGTGCCAACTGTTGACCAGGCATTGTTTTAGCGGCCAAGATAGGTGACATGAGACGCTTGACACAAAGCAACCATGTTTTGTGGCAATCAAGCAATGTTTAGGCAAGGTGATGGGTGCTTTCACATGGACCTTGCTGACAGTGGAGGCAGCCAAAGCGGAAGAGCCTTCGAAAGAGACCGACGAATACGCTGCTGAGGTGCCAACTGTTGACCAGGCATTGTTTTAGCGGCCAAGATAGGTGACATGAGACGCTTGACACAGGGCAAACATGTTTTGTTGCAATCAAGCAATGTTTAGGCAAGGTGATGGGTGCTTCACATGGACCTTGCTGACAGTGGAGGCAGCCAAAGCGGAAGAGCCTTCGAAAGAGACCGACGAATGCGCTGCGGAGGTGCCAACTGTTGACCGGGCATTGTTTTAGCGGCCAAGATAGGTGACATGCCACGCGTGACACAGGGCAAACATGTTTTGTGGCAATCAAGCAATGTTTAGGCAAGGTGATGGGTGCTTTCACATAGACCTTGCTGACAGTAGAGGCAGCCAAAGCGGAAGAGCCTTCGAAAGAGACCGACGAATGCGCTGCGGAGGTGCCAACTGTTGACCAGGCATTGTTTTAGCGGCCAAGATAGGTGACATGAGACGCTTGACACAGGGCAAACATGTTTTGTTGCAATCAAGCAATGTTTAGGCAAGGTGATGGGTGCTTTACATGGACCTTGCTGACAGTGGAGGCAGCCAAAGCGGAAGAGCCTTCGAAAGAGACCGACGAATGCGCTGCGGAGGTGCCAACTGTTGACCAGGCATTGTTTTAGCGGCCAAGATAGGTGACATGAGACGCTTGACACAGGTGATGGGTGCTTTCACATTGACCTTGCTGACAGTGGAGGCAGCCAAAGCGGAAGAGCCTTCAAAAGAGACAGACGAATACGCTGCTGAGGTGCCAACTGTTGACCAGGCATTGTTTTAGCGGCCAAGATAGGTGACATGCGACGCTTGACACAGGGCAAACATGTTTTGTTGCAATCAAGCAATGTTTAGGCAAGGTGATGGGTGCTTTCACATGGACCTTGCTGACAGTGGAGGCAGCCAAAGCGGAAGAGCCTTCGAAAGAGACCGACGAATGCGCTGCGGAGGTGCCAACTGTTGACCAGGCATTGTTTTAGCGGCCAAGATAGGTGACATGCGACGCTTGACACAGGGCGAACATGGTTTGTGGCAATCAAGCAATGTTTAGGCAAGGTGATGGGTGCTTTCACATGGACCTTGCTGACAATAGAGGCAGCCAAAGCGGAAGAGCCGTCGAAAGAGACCGACGAATGCGCTGCGGAGGTGCCAACTGTTGACCAGGCATTGTTTTAGCGGCCAAGATAGGTGACATGCGACGCTTGACACAGGGCAAACATGTTTTGTGGCAATCAAGCAATGTTTAGGCAAGGTGATGGGTGCTTTCACATAGACCTTGCTGACAGTAGAGGCAGCCAAAGCGGAAGAGCCTTCGAAAGAGACCGACGAATGCGCTGCTGAGGTGCCAACTGTTGACCAGGCATTGTTTTAGCGGCCAAGATAGGTGACATGAGATGCTTGACACAGGGCAAACATGTTTTGTTGCAATCAAGCAATGTTTAGGCAAGGTGATGGGTGCTTTACATGGACCTTGCTGACAGTAGAGGCAGCCAAAGAGGAAGAGCCTTCGAAGGAGACCGACGACTGCGCTGCTGAGGTGCCAACTGTTGAAGCTGTTGTTGTGGTACCATGCACTTGCGAATATCATCTACACGCTATACTAGCCTTGCCGGGTCATCATTTTGGAGTATAGGACTCATGAGAGTTGACGTGCGAGGGACAAGGGAGCGGAAAAGTTCGTTCTTGAGAAAGATCATTTGACAGCTACTCAGGTTTCAGTTGTTGGTGCTCACCAATTGCTTGAATGGAAGCACGGATTGAGGTGCTTGGCTGACAACTGTGTGTGTGTGCAGCCTCTGGAGCAGGGTATCCTCGCGAGCAAGATCCAAGATCCTCATCGATTCTGCAATGGCAAAGGCAAGCAAGATGCTCGCGGTCGTGGCGGGTGTGGCGGCCTACTGCGGCTGGCAGGGCGCTTTCGTGCCGCCCCCCGCTGGCCGGCATGTGCCGATCGGCACTGCGGCCGGCGCCGCGGCCATGCTGGGCACGGCGCCCGCTTACGCGGACAAGATCGACGATGCGGCCAACGTTCTTTCCGAGAAGTCCTACCCATTCTTGAAGGATTTCCGAGTGTGATCACCGGGCATGATTATGGCTTGCAAGACGCTTCTGGTGCGTTTGCGGTTCGGCAAATGTTCTGACTGAAGATATTGCACGTAGATGGTAGCCCAATTCTGGACTATTGGGAAAGACGTTGATTGAGCTTTCCCGGTGTTGGTCTGATGTTTGTCGTTTTGTGAAAGCTGCAAGCTGCTTGTTACTTACTACAAGATTTGTCTTTCTTCGAGCAGTATATGGCTGTCCTTCAGAGACATGAATCAATGCATGAGAACATGGTTGAGCCAAACACGTTTTATCCAGGAGATCGACTGGACTGATGGCGTCTATGGCGTTCTGCCCACTGCCAAGCCCTTGGAGGTGCTGAAGGCCATCGACAAGATGTTGGTCATGGGGGCCGCAATGGACCCGGAGGCTCTGAAGGCAGGAGTGTTGGCGCACAGCAAGGCCATCAAGAGCATTGACGGCAAAGGGGTCACCACCCTTGCGGACTACACGGCCACCAACGCCGCCATTGGCCACATGATTGCGTCCGTACCGGCTTCCAAGACCATGGACGTGTACAACGCCTTCAACAAGTTCAGCCTGGGCAAGGATGTGGGCCCTTACATGATGTCCAAGGTGAGCGCTGAGGACGCCAAGGCGGCCTACAAGGCATTTTTGGAGTTCAAGGATGTGGTGAAGGCTTCTCAGCGCTGAGCTCGGCCTTGCTCCTGGCATCTTTGGCGCCGTGTGTGCGCCCTGCAGTTTGTATAGTTTTTTCTTGGCAACTCTTTACAATCTGAGTCCGACCGGCTTGAGACCCCGCTCTCAGGCATCCGGCTGATTCAGCCAATTCCACAATTTATGAAGGCACTCCGCCAACTTGCAATTGAATAATCCGCTCATGTGAAAAAGGCGCCTTGTTTCCGTATTGCGTACACTTTGGCAATGCCAAAGTCCACAAAAGCCTTCCCAGAAGGGCAATCAACAGATTTTCTTGCACGTTCACGCCATCCGAATCTACGCTGAGAAGGGCAATGTGGGGCGCTTCGTCACTTCTGTGAAGATGGCAGCATTTCCATGTTCGAGTGTAACACTGAGGTTGGATCGACGTGCGAGGAATGAGGAAACACAAAAGCATGTCTATTCTTGTTCTTGAGGTAGAGATCAGATAGCCTCTCAGACTGCAGTTGTTGGTGTGCGAGCAATCGCTTGGGGGAACGCATGGATTGATGTGCCTTTTGGACGACTCTGTGTTTGTGTGTGCCGGTCTTGTGCGGATGTCTGCTTTGGAGCAGGGTAGCCTCGCGAGCAAGATCCAAGATCCTCATCGTTTCTGCAATGGCAAAGGCAAGCAAGATGCTCGCGGTCGTGGCGGGTGTGGCGGCCTACTGCGGCTGGCAGGGCGCTTTCGTGCCGTCCCCCGCTGGCCGGCATGTGCCGATCGCCACTGCGGCCGGCGCCGCGGCCATGCTGGGCATGGCGCCCGCTTACGCGGACAAGATCGATGATGCGGCCAAAGTTCTTTCCGAGAAGTCCTACCCATTCTTGAAGGATTTCCGAGTATGATCACCTGGCATGATCATGGTGCGTTTGGGGTTCGGGCACTGTTCTGACTGAAGATGTTGCGCGTAGATGGTAGCCCAATTCTGGACCATAGCGTAAGAAGTTGATTGAGCTGTCCAGGTGTTGGTTTGATGTGTGCCGTTTTGTGAAAGCTGCCAGCTGCTTGTTACTTCGTACACAATGCGTGGCACTTCGAGCATTATTTGTTTGTTCCACCAGGTGATTCTTGTAGAGGGACTTGGCAGGTATTTCTTTGCTGGCTGTTTATGGCTGTCCTTCAGAGACATGAATCACTGCATGAGAACATGGTTGAGCCAAACACGTTTTATCCAGGAGATCGACTGGACTGATGGCGTCTATGGCGTTCTGCCCACTGCCAAGCCCTTGGAGGTGCTGAAGGCCATCGACAAGATGTTGGTCATGGGGGCCGCGATGGACCCGGAGGCTCTGAAGGCAGGAGTGTTGGCGCACAGCAAGGCCATCAAGAGCATTGACGGCAAAGGGGTCACCACCCTTGCGGACTACACGGCCACCAACGCCGCCATTGGCCACATGATTGCGTCCGTACCGGCTTCCAAGACCATGGACGTGTACAACGCCTTCAACAAGTTCAGCCTGGGCAAGGATGTGGGCCCTTACATGATGTCCAAGGTGAGCGCTGAGGACGCCAAGGCGGCCTACAAGGCATTTTTGGAGTTCAAGGATGTGGTGAAGGCTTCTCAGCGCTGAGCTCGGCCTTGCTCCTGGCATCTTTGGCGCCGTGTGTGCGCCCTGCAGTTTGTATAGTTTTCTCTTGGCAACTCTTTACAATCTGAGTCCGACCGGCTTGAGACCCCGCTCTCAGGCATCCGGCTGATTCAGCCAATTCCACAATTTATGAAGGCACTCCGCCAACTTGCATTTGAATAATCCGCTCATGTGAAAAAGGCGCCTTGTTTCCGTATTGCGTAGACTTTGGCGTGTGAGTTTGCAAATCAGCAATGCCAAAGTTCACAAAGAAACTTCCCAGAAGGGTAATCAACAGAGTGTCTTGCACGTTCACCATCCGAAGCTGCGCTGAGAAGGGCAATGTGGGGCGCTTCGTCACTTCTGTGAAGATGGCAGCATTTCCATGTTCGAGTGTAACACTGAGGTTGGATCGACGTGCGAGGAATGAGGAAACAGAAAAGCATGTCTATTCTTGTTCTTGAGGTAGAGATCAGATAGCCTTTCAGACTGCAGTTGTTGGTGTGCGAGCAATCGCTTGGGGGAACGCATGGATTGATGTGCCTTTTGGACGACTCTGTGTCTGTGTGTGCCGGTGTTGTCCGGGTGTCAGCTTTGGAGCAGGGTAGCCTCGCGAGCAAGATCCAAGATCCTCATCGTTTCTGCAATGGCAAAGGCAAGCAAGATGCTCGCGGTCGTGGCGGGTGTGGCGGCCTACTGCGGCTTGCAGGGCGCTTTCGTGCCGCCCCCCGCTGGCCGGCATGTGCCGATCGGCACTGCGGCCGGCGCCGCGGCCATGCTGGGCATGGCGCCCGCTTACGCGGACAAGATCGATGATGCGGCCAAAGTTCTTTCCGAGAAGTCCTACCCATTCTTGAAGGATTTCCGAGTGTGATCACCGGGCATGATCATGGCTTGCAAGACGCTTTCTGGCGCGTTTGGGGTTCGGGCAATGTTCTGACTGAAGATATGCCCATTTCTGGACTATTGGGTAAGACATTGATTGAGCTTTCCAGGTGTTGGTCTGATGTTTGTCGTTTTGTGAAAGCTGCCAGCTGCTTGTTACTTCGCACACAATGCGTGGCACTTCGAGCATTACTTGTTTGTTCCACCAGGTGTTTCTTGTAGAGGGACTGGCAGGTATTTCTTTGCTGGCTGTTTATGGCTGTCCTTCAGAGACATGAATCAATGCAGGAGAACATGGTTGAGCCAAACACGTTTTATCCAGGAGATCGACTGGACTGATGGCGTCTATGGCGTTCTGCCCACTGCCAAGCCCTTGGAGGTGCTGAAGGCCATCGACAAGATGTTGGTCATGGGGGCCGCAATGGACCCGGAGGCTCTGAAGGCAGGAGTGTTGGCGCACAGCAAGGCCATCAAGAGCATTGACGGCAAAGGGGTGACCACCCTTGCGGACTACACGGCCACCAACGCCGCCATTGGCCACATGATTGCGTCCGTACCGGCTTCCAAGACCATGGACGTGTACAACGCCTTCAACAAGTTCAGCCTGGGCAAGGATGTGGGCCCTTACATGATGTCCAAGGTGAGCGCTGAGGACGCCAAGGCGGCCTACAAGGCATTTTTGGAGTTCAAGGATGTGGTGAAGGCTTCTCAGCGCTGAGCTCGGCCTTGCTCCTGGCATCTTTGGCGCCGTGTGTGCGCCCTGCAGTTTGTATAGTTTTCTCTTGGCAACTCTTTACAATCTGAGTCCGACCGGCTTGAGACCCCGCTCTCAGGCATCCGGCTGATTCAGCCAATTCCACAATTTATGAAGGCACTCCGCCAACTTGCATTTGAATAATCCGCTCATGTGAAAAAGGCGCCTTGTTTCCGTATTGCGTAGACTTTGGCGTGTGATTTTGCAAGTCAGCAATGCCACAGTCCACAAACGCCTTCCCAGAAGGGTAATCAACAGAGTGTCTTGCACGTTCACCATCCGAATCTGCGCTGAGAAGGGCAATGTGGGGCGCTTCGTCACTTCTGTGAAGATGGCAGCATTTCCATGTTCGAGTGTAACACAGAGGTTGGATCGACGTGCGAGGAACAAGGAAACACAAAAGCATGTCTATTCTTGTTCTTGAGGTAGAGATCAGATTGCTGCTCAGACTGCAGTTGTTGGTGCGCGAGCAATCGCTTGGGGGAACGCATGGATTAATGTGCCTCTTGGACGACTCTGTGTTTGTGTGTGCCGGTGTTGTCCGGATGTCAGCTTTGGAGCAGGGT